ATATATATATATATATATATATTAGTATAGACGTATAGATTATTAAAATACTATGATATCTTTCAACTCCGTTTGACTTTCCAAACTCTAATAAACATCCATCTAAACTTTCTCATTTATAATAGTAAAGTTTACTTGATCTTGATGCAAAACGAAAATTCAATCAATTTAGACAACTTTAAATAGATGAAAAGTTGGTACGGTTAGCAAAAGTATTCATGTTGGCAGTGGAAGTGTTAACTGACCTTGTATGTGGAGAGCATTGTTGTATCGCCCGATGAGAGTATAACCTCGGTATCATCTTCATCATCCGGCTCCGGATTTAGTACTGTATTAACTTGCTCTGCAATTATACAATTTATTTGTCTGTATTAACAAATAGAAAGAAGTTTCTCGATGGAGAAAATATTCTGAAAATTTAATCGTTTCTTACATTTGCTAAGAGTTTTAAAGACTGCAGATAATAATAATAAAAAAAAAAAATACCTGCGACACTAACGCATCAGTGTAGTAAAAGGTTGAAAAGATAGCCTAACTTTTAAATAAAAACAGATTATACAATTATTACGTCTGTGACTAAACTGCCGCTAATTGTAAATTTTTTATCTACTTTTTAAAATACTGGCCGCATTCTGCAATAACTGAAGATTTTAAACAATTTTATTTTTAAAGATGAGAAAACATTTTCTTATCTTACAGTACTTTTAAATTTAAGTACTAGCTTATTTCTAAAGTTATAGTTACTGTGATAAATATAAAAAGATCAACAAACCCATGTTTTTTTTTTTTGACAATAGAATATAGATTAAAAATGTCTACTCACCAATAAATGTGCTGAAACTCTTCTTCATAGCATTTGCTGTGGATTCTGGTTCATCAAACTGAAATAAAAATAGATTTTTTTACAAATAAGTAAGCAAGCTGCCTTATGATCCGCCAAAATGGCGAAGCGACCGCTGCCCAGTCATTCGCAATTGCAGTTCGCTGATTACCCTTAATTGAAGGAAGAGACGCATACAAACAGGATATTTTCCCTTTGCATATCCTCCACTGTCAAATCCTCTTTTCCTCTTAAAAAAGGGTGGAAAAAGGGAGTAAAATTAGGCTACTGGCACAAAAAAAAACATACCTTGAAAGTCTTTCCGAGGGCATTAGATGTTGAACTGATAACATGACTTGCTTCACATTTCACCGCTGTACCAATCTCATCTAAATCCTTTTTCACCATAGAATACACTTCCGCTGACTGGAATGTAACAAGATGACATTATTTAGAACATACCATTCTTTTTTATCTGTATTATTACAATATCTTAACAATTATGGCCTGATAGATTTATTACCAACATTAAGTCAATTTAAAAATCAACACAATATAAGGCCTGTAATCTAAAGTTTCATGTTCTTGCACACAACAAAAGCCGATACCATCTTACTAATCTTACTAATATTATAAATGCGAAAGTTTAGACGGATGGATGTTTGTTAGAGTTTGTAGCCTAAATGGCTGACCGGATTTCGATGAAATTTGGTATAGATGTGGAGGAAAGTCTGGAAGAACACATAGGCTAATCACTTTTGTTTTTTTTTTAATTCCACGGGGACGAAGTCGCAGGCTAAAGCTTGTAAGAATATAAGAGAGGTTCAGACGGAGAAATGTTTGAGAAATGCTGGTCTAGATTAAGTGTTACAATTAGAATTAAAGTAGCGGCTTAGGCTCACAGAAACTAGTAAAATTTGTAAAAGGTTTATTAGAAAAACTCCCTCGAATATTAAGAGTGCATGCACTCCTTTGACTAAACTATTGCATAACTGTTTAGTCTCACTTCGATTCCTATGAACTTATATGGAGGTCTACATTACTCAATTTTGAGTTGTGTAACTAAACAGTTGAATTGGCTACAAAACAATCGCACAGTTATGCAATTGTTTTGTCAAAGGTGTGAACCTGCTCTTATACTAACCTTTGTTTTAGCAGATGATAGCCATGTATCCCACCAGTTACCAGAAGGCTTGTCATCTTGTTTTGATGTACTCATTGACTCTTCGGGATTGGATTCCGTTCTAAAAGAAAATTTAAACAGTATTAAATTCCTGTTATGTTGCCACCTGCTAGCAACATTCAAAAAAGTTTTTTCCATCCCCAATTTTAAATTTAATCTATTATTTCTTCAGAACAATTTTTAAGTACAAAGAATATGTTGTCAACATCAACATTTTCAATTTAAATGGCTTTATAAAGTCTCAACATAAACTAAATTTACCTTGAAAAGTAGATTAGGTATGCTACCTTGAATTGGTGATTAAATTTCAACCATAGTTATAGAGCTAAGTACTTTTCTATGAGAAAATAAATGAATTTAATCCACATAAAGTTATAACATTCCAGAATGAGTTTAAATGACCTTTCTTTCTAGAAATTTACAAATAACATACAAATCTCTAAGATACCTAGTAAAAGTTTTCTTACTAGAATAGCCTTAACCAGAAGTACTAATAAACATCGACGCAAATCAGAACTGGTTTCCAATAAGTAAAATAGATTTAATCATCAAGTATTATTATTTATTTATGTAACTGTACATTTAATGGTATAACATCAACAAATACAAAACAAAGATAAAAGATAACAAACTTACTTTTCAGCCATCACGTTAGTTTCTCTGTAAACAAATTAATAGATATAGAACATGGATCTTTGCACATAAAGAAATGCGTGAATATTTTTGTTATTACACGAGATTTACGATTAATTTTGACTTGACATAATTTAGTTTTGTTTGCGTTGACATATGGTTTATTCTCTTTTGCATTTATAGCCATAGATAATAAAAACGTCTGGTCCCTTGGACAACTAAGAATTTTATCTTATGGTTTAACAAATTAATTAAAAATTAATTTTCTGTACAAAATAATTTTTAATTACAGGAATAGGGTTAAGTTTTACAAGTTTATATTAGAAGTGAAATTAATGTACGCGTATAATGAAACGGTGACATTATCATAATTTTGTTTTTAAAATGTGCTTTTGTTGTTGATTTAAGGTTTTATCAGTAGCTTAACACAAACCTCGACCTTAGTTAGAATTGTACAAAAATTATTAATGAATCAACAATTTAAGTTTGTCAAATTACGAGTTCATCTGTTTGCGAAGTATCCTTTGAAAGGTTTTTTAATTGAACAATGTTATCCTACTTCAGGATCACGCATAATGTAAACAAAACGAAAGCAAAAAGCCAACTAATTATATTAATTTCATGTCCGGACTTTATTAATTTGCGTTGGCGGTCGGCGTCTTCTTGTAATTTTTTCTTGTGGATTATTCAATAAAGTATTGAAGGGTACATTTTTGCAAATAAATCGTGTAGCTAAGCTCAGGTTGAAAGATGTTTGCGCTAAGATATAGTTATAGGAGCACGGTGTTTGTTTTAAATGTACACCCGGCGAATTGGGTGCTGTTTCTCATTTTTATTATGATTTATTTATGTTATGATTTATTTGAACTTAAATATTTCCTTTGATATTTTCAGAGATTAGTTTTTATATGTTTCCCAGGCATTTTAAAAGAAACTTTACAATTAGCAGCTTAACTAAAGAACACAATTGTTTTAGATAATAGGAAGACTGAGTTTTTCGATAGTTATTAAGAAAATACAGTTAGATGTTGATTATTTTACTAATGGCAAAACAGATATTGTATTCTTCTGCGATATAGGTACAGGTTACATTTTTTGTAGTAAAAAATATGTTTACTCGTATATCGTAATCTGTGTGGAGGGCTGTACAGGAATCCGAGCACTCCCATAATGTTAGTTTTTGATCAGATTCGACGTGCCTTTCTTCATGTTATTAATAAGAGTTCACGAGGCATGCTTCAACGGCATTGACGAGTACAGGCTGATGAGAAAATTAATGCAATAAATTGTAATTATTTCACCTATATTGGCACCACTAGCATAAATACATGTGTACTATTATTTTTTAAAGGTACACACTTGAAGTGTCCTTGAATCGGTCAGTCGAAATTTTCGAACAAAATAATTTTTATACCTTTTTAAAAAATCGTATACAAGTAAAATTTGGGAAGGCATGTTAAGTTTGAAACGTTGTTAATTATGTTTTATCCAGAAAACGAATTCTCATGATTCCTGCTTTACGTCTTTGTTGTTAATTATCAAAATTAATTAAACAAAAAACATGCTGTATACTAAAATCTGAATGGATAATCCTTGGTGCATAAATAATAATACGGCGAGTGATCGACGCGGGCCTTCAAAGTTCATCGCTCAATCAGCGAGCGCCCGCGGCAGTGACGTCACGCGCGTGACGCGTCCCGCCCGCCAAGAGATGGCGCTGGACGATCAACAATGTTTACTAAAGCGATGTGTGCGGTAAAGATTGATGAACTAATTTTATTTCAATTGTTTATTCTCTACATATAAAGATTAACAGTTAATTTCTGTTAAACAAGTATTTGCAGTTATTTACACAACATTTTTGCTTAAAATACGTAACGCATCGTAATTAGTCACAAAGGCGAATAGCTGGTCGAGATTTAGTATGCAAAATCCACACTAAGACAACGTTTAAGTATCCAATTTTATACACTGAGTAACGTCCTTGCGTTTTGTATACTCATTGCTTAATTTGTGTTGGATAAATATAGGTTATAATTTGCGTACGTCAATAATAAAATAAAGGCGGAATAGTTAACTAAATTGTATCTAGAATCAGCTTGAAGGGATTTGCTGTTGCGAAATGTAGTGCTTATTGTATAGAAATATCGAACAGACATGATTGTTTCACTGCCTGATCGTTTTATCGATTGGTAGGAAAAATCGTGCTTACAAGAGTAGAGAGAGTATGTCTTAAATTATTGCAGGATAAATCTTCGCAGTTTTTTTTAAATAAGTAACCCTGTAAGTTATTTTAATAGATAGATTAAAGTTAAGCTTTTTTATCAACAAATGTTTTCCGCAACAGATGGCGCTAGCATCATCATTGTGGTGGTTTAACCAATTTTGACTAGTGCGAGTGAACCCTTCGAGCAAATATGTTGTTGATCGAAGAGTTAACTATGAATTATTCGATTCGTTTTCCTCCGTGTTTCATAATAATTTGAGGGATATATTAGAATTTTGTTTTTTTTATTTATCATTAGTTTAATATTGAATTATTTCATCTCTGAACTTAACCTGCTCTATGTCGGGTGCTACAGAAATTTGTCTTTTACATAGATTGTTACTCACTTCATCATACTTACCTTTTTCGGTTTACTACTGCTTTTTTTAAGGTCATTTGTCCTTCTTGTTCTGTTATAAATTATGGTCATCTTAGCGCACGTGGGCGCAACGTGGGTGCGTTCGCTCATCTCCGTAGTGCACATTAAATTTGATTGTGCCCACAACCTGCGCATTCCCATACATTTATATTGTAATAAATAATTTCTTATTCGCTAATTCTGTTAGCGTTTTAGATTTATCTTTTTATCTTAAATGTTAACGATGTTAGTCATTATTGGATTATGCAATTGCGTGGTTTTATGGTTAGGTAGGATCTTCGGAATGTACCATAAAATATTTGTATTCTTAGAAATCTTATGCGACTTCACTATTTATCGCCGAAGACAATTGTCAATTAGCTATTTTAAAAAATTTGCAATATTTCGATGTTCTTTATAGTTAAAATTGTTTATAAGGGCCTGTCCCACCACTGGCTGATAGACGATCAGATAGCTTAAAAATGACGTCACTGTCAGATAAGGAAACACAATCCGATATTTCCATCATATTTTACATGTTGGATTGTTATCAGACAATTTACAATTTGGTAGAACAGGCCCTAAGTATTATTAAAATAAAAATATCGGGTAAGCAAAGCCTTGGTTGTCATCCGCTCGTACCAGGGTCGCAAAGCCTTGGCGGCGCGGTGGCAAAGAATGTCAGCCGAGGATTTATGTGAGCGCGCGCACTCGTTGACAAGTGCACAACTGTGCCACTACCTCTCTACGCGATATGTAGCCCTGGTACTTTGCAATGGTTGACAATAATTTTATTTTTTACTACATGTAACTTTTTATTTAAATACTAGCTTCCCGCGTATCCGTCCGCGCGGAATTAAAAAAAATATAAAAGCAAGCAGCCTATGTGTTTTTCCAGACTCTTCTCCACATGTATGCCATTTTTTATCGAGATTCCTTCAAGCTTTTGGGCTACAAACTCCTCCATCCTTCCGTCCATCCATCTAAACTTTCGCATTCATAATATTAGTAAGTTTATAATATTAGTAAGATCTTTTCTAAAACAAATCATTTAACATATGCAAACTTTTTAGTCGTATTTAATTTTTTAAAAAACTGTAAATATACTAGCCACTTAAAAAAAGGCAAACAATCGCACAAAAGTCTCATTTTTTGTAGAAAAACTCTTCAACCTTTCGCACGGGCGTTTATTTAACGCTCTGGCTCAAACGAACGGTTCAAAATTACTTACGTCTTAAAAACGCTGGTAATCAGACACATGGAAATGAATTTGTTCTACTCGTATTTCAACGTGCGTTATAAGTCCCACACGAATGGGGAACCGATTTAAAATGTATAATTTTTTCTCAATTAATTTACGAATTAAAAAGTTCACTTTCAACTGCATTATTCTTCCTGTAGCAAAGTGGTATTTCTAGACTACGTCTTTTGTGCCGGCGGCTACTGTATTTATGCTAAAAGGCCGCGCGGCGTAGGCCTTTAATAAACAAATGACGCGAGACCCGATTTAAGGCCCAACGTCGCAATTATTTCACTATTTTCGACGCGGCCTGCTCGAGTATGCTTTTTAGCTTTATTTGAAATTTGCGTAGCATTTCACTGACGGTTATAGCTTGCATGTTTTAAATACGAGCTCATTTTAATATGATATGGTTTTAAACGTTATAATGGTGGATGTTTACGGTATTTGCACTATTCGTTTTTCACTTGTAGCATAGGTAACTGGGACAATGTGTAACTAAATATGTAAGGTATTAATCATACTTCATACTAATATTATAAATGCGAAAGTTTAGATGGATGGATGTTTGTTTGAATATGTAGTCTAAAAGGCTAAATGGATCTGGATGAAATTTGGCACAGACGTAGGACATACTCTGGAAGAACACATAGGCTACTTACTTTTGTTTTTTTTAATACTACGCGGACGGAGTCGCGGACAAAAGCTAGTATAGAATATAGGGGCCTTTAAATATTTTTAAACGCTTTTCCAAGTCGAAAAGTTAGGATCTCAGATTAAAACTTTACTATAATAGAATATTCCCATGATAGGAAGGTTTGTGTCTGTTAAAAGAATAATAAAGATTTTTATTAGTACTAGCTGATGCCCGCGAATTTATCCACGCAATATTAAGATAAAAAAGCCTATAATACGCCCGTCTATGTCAGCTACCCTTCAGTGAAAGTCTGGTCAAAATCGGCTCAGCCGTTTCGGAGCAAATACATCATCTTCCCGAAATCTGGATATTTTCTTATGATATTACAAATAGACACTACAATTTTTTGATGACTTAGGGCCTGTCC